CGAGGCGATGAAATATTGACGCTCATTACCGACGAAATATGGGGACGACCGGTTAATTATAAAATTCTATATGGGGTTCACAAGTAAGGGAGACATCCCTATAGACCCCTAGGGGTACTAGTAAACAGGTAAGAAAGGAAAATTATTACATCTTGTTCTCTTATGCGTAAAAGTGAAAAGTAGTATAGATATGAGTTTTCATAGGTTATTTTTGAAAAATTCGTTACAGTAAGTATCAAATAAACGTTTTCAAGTTTAACGGTATTTAAATAAAGTAAGGGTTTCATTAGTTGTTTTCTTATTTTTACCAATCTTTAGTTTTTCGTATATGTTATTAATGTGATATTCTTACTGGACTAGTATAACTTACCATTTCATTAGTCATTTCAGATCAAGAGAATCAGGATCCACATCCCGATCAGTAAGAGAGTTGTGAGTAGTTCACCACCTGAACTCCTTTCAAGTGCTAGTAAAGATTGTCCTATGGTACTTTTGTATTCGTTCTTCTTTTCATTTCTTTAATTATCGTTTATCTTTTAGAAAAAATATTTTCGTAACCCTATTGAACATTCTAAATTATTGTGTAAAGAATATAAACTGTAACTGTATTAATCGTTTTTGTATTTAATTTTATAAATTCATTTTCCTTTAAGATTCCGGGTCTTTACACCGAAAATATCATATTTTAAGAATTACCTTAATAATTTATATTTTCGTATATATATATATTTGTTTAAATAACTAAAATTAACGGATAAAAGGAGAATTTATGAAAATAGAAAGAATGGATATAACAAGTAATAAACTAAAGAAGATGGTGCGAATATACATACCTGCAAAGAGTGTATGGATAGTGGAGTTTAGTGGTATTGGCATGTAGAGCCATCTGTACCTCTGGTTTGTTGAAATATTGCTCAACATAATCTTGAGTGCATGGATCATAGCCGGAGGGTAGCCCCCTATTCCACATCTCCTGACACACATATATATATATATATATATATTCATCAAACAGATATGCATATATATATATATATGATATGTATATATAAAGAAGAGAGAAAATTAAGTGTATGTACCTGTGAATTACTGAAGAGACGATGAGGAGGAACGAGGAGGTTGGAAAAATCATAATTCAAGCAGACAGGTGAATATATACTGTAAATATCAATGTCAGCATAAGCTTCCATGAAACCCTTTAAAGCTTCACTGCATTGGAGGGTTAAGTGTCCATGTAGAAAATCACATTCCTTGTTGATCCTTACGTACAGCTGGTCCGATATTATTGCATGGCTCCATGCAAACTCCACCAAACCCTTCGTGTCTGTTTCATCGTTTATCACTGCGTTCCCTATCTGCTTTTTTCTCTCAATTGTTATTTAATTTATTTATTTACTGAAATTATAAATATAATAATCTACAAATATTTAATTAATTACCATGAATCCCTTCAGGTTGATGTAGGAATCTTTGTTGGCACCTTTGTTTCTCTCGTAAATCAACTCTGCCAGTTGAGGAACATAATGACCTGAAACCAAACAATTACTTATAATACATATATTCATATCTTCATCCAATTTATGTATAAAAGAATAAGAAATTTTCAATAATAATAATAATAATAAAATTAAAGAAGAAGAATTGATAAATACCGGCATAGCTCTCGCCTGCAATGTAGAAATGGTGGGATTTAAAGCTGGGGAATCTTTTGAACCAGTTAACCAAGAAAGCATAAGAGTCATTTGCTGTAATTCCATCGCCAAGTTGTCTTAAATCATTCGAATTATTTGAGTAGGAAAAGCCTACACCAACTGGTGCCTCCAAGAACAGCATATTTGCAACTAATAACACCATATATATGTATATATGAGTCAACTAGTTATTCATTCGCACATAAAAATATCATAACATCAACTATAAACACACACACATATATGTACTTATTACATATGTATACATATATATGTATATATTTATACGAGAATATGTCCATACCTCTGTTCCAAGAGAATTTGTTAAGAGTGAGTTGGGTATTATTGCTCCTAACCAGAAATGGACCGAGTTCTTGTGCAGCTCCATAAGCTACTGAAGAACAGCCAGGTCCTGAAACATCAGATTTCAAATTCTTAATAAAAAGAATATTGAAAATTAGAAAGCAAATCTTTAGATTTTTCCTTAAAATCATATATTTGATAGAAGAAATTACATAATACGTGTAATACCTGGGTTCAAAAATTTAGTCTGTGATAAATTTTTGAATTAATAGAAATATATATAAAAATAATTTTATCTTATTTTATTTTAATTTTTTAAAAATTTTAAGAAAAATAGAATTAAAGATGAAATTGAAAATGATTTTGAGAAAAATAGGTAAAATTTTGAATAAGGAAGTGTTTTTAAAAATAAATTTAAAAATTGGAGGTAAAATTGTAAAAAAAAAAAAGTTTGGCCACGTGGGACGGCCCAATCAACAGCCATGACGAGTCAGAACACGCTGCGTGGCAGACACGCTGACATCGGCTCCATGTGGAAGGCCACACGGGCGATCCATATGCCTGGACGATCCGACGGCTTAGATCGCATCTCACACGCACGAATAGTCCAGATGCATTCTCTCTTTAGACGCGATCAGATGGATGAGATTAATCGTGATGTATGGTCTATTTTTGCCCACACAATTAAACTAAACAAGTAACAATCGGATAGCTCTCCTAGCTCTACGTCAACGCGGATGAACGGCCAAGATAAGGAGAATAGAGGTATTTAAACTTCTCTTCAGTTGGCCCCAAAACCCTAGCCGACACATGACTGGAGAAGAAGAAAGAAGGTAGCTGGAGGGAAAACCAGCCACCAAAAGGACGCCATCGTTGTCGCACCAGAGCCACTGTCGATGGCGAGAGAGGTACACTCTTCCCCTTCCCGCTCTGAATTCAATCCTGAATCTCTCTATGCCTATATCATAGCCAGAAGACCGACGGGTGAGTGAAAAATTACGAGTGAAGCTCGGCCGAGCTGTCGCGACCAAAACCAAAAACCCTCTTTGATGACCCCTTTTCTGTTTTTCATTTTGTATGATTTTTTTTACCATTGTGTTCTCTGTCTTTTCCTGGTGCAGGTTAGGCGAAGAGGAACTTCACCTGCGAAGTACGATCGGCGAAGCCGCCGTACCCGAAGACCTTCCGCAGGTAGGGTTTCGATTTTTTATCTTTTCTGGCCAACCGATGCCTCCCAACTTGGTTTTTTGCAGGTTTACGTATAAAACTGACTAAAATGGGCCTAAACCAACTGAAAAAGGCCAAACCGAGGCGAATTACCACTGGGGCGGTGGAGCCGGTGCTGGAGCACGGCAATGCTGCTGTGCCGGAACCCTAAAATTGACCAAAAATATTTTAAAACGCCTATTTTGGTCTTTTGGGATATTTTTGGATACATGATGGGTATTTTAATTTTCGTAGAAAAAATTTAAGAAATCTGGGGATCGTGATAAAGTGTAGTGAAAAATACAATGTTTCAGACATCGATCCAGTGTAAGAATCCATCACCATTTTTCCTGTTATGGTAAACTGAAGCTTAATAATCAATAATACTGTGTTTTGTGAAAATTAGAAAATGCTAAAATTAATTACAGGTCATTAGTAGAATCAAAATCGGTCAGTGCATATTTGTCCTAATTTACTGTTTATTTTCTCCTATATTGCCTAAAATGCTTACTATTATATTGTGTGCCTTAAATTGCTAGTTTTAATTGTTTTATCAGCTATTTAGTTTACCTAACTGCATAGCCCTTATTTGTTGGTTTGTTTTGCAATAAATATATTTTCTTGATTTACATACAGTCTTTTCGCATGACTTATTGCTGATTTATAAATATGAGATCTTGATATGTAATTGATCATTGATTAATGGTGTGTATCTATATATGAAAGGCTTACTAGGTACCCTGGGAAATAATGGATGGACTAGGTACATAGAGAAAACCCTACCATGGACATTATCTCAGTCAAACGAGACTAAAAAGTCTCATACCAGAAGAATTTGGGGGATATGATTCACTTTCATACCAGACGAGGTATCAAGACAATGGTACGTTTGATGCCCATTACTGGACGGGGTATGTGGATGGCTGATTAATTGACAAATTTGGTTGTTGGGTTCACGCATAAAGGGACATACCTATGGACCCCTAGAAGTATTAATAAGCAGGCAAAAAAGTAAGTTACTATTCTTACTCACTAGATATGAAATCACATTGTTATTTGAGTTATTATCTTCATAGGTCAATTTTGAAAACTCATAACCTTAAGTATGGAATGGAATGTTTTATGTTAAATGAATTTACCTAAACTAACAACTCTATTAGTAATTTTATAAGGTAAAAAGGTAAGTTGTTATTCAGTTTTGGTATCAGTGATTAGTGTGATATTCTTATTAGGTTAGTATAATTCACCCACCTATCAACCGTTTAAGATCAAGAAGATCAAAATCTAGATCTTGAACAGCAGCAGGATTGCGAGTAAGATTACCTCCAAGACCCCATCAAAGTTACTAGTGGATGTTAACTTCATAGGATTTTTATTTCTTTGTTTTCAACCATTTATTTTGTTTTTATGAACTGTTATAAAAAGGATATTTTCGTAACCCTATTAAACACTCTAATTTACTGTGTGAGGAATATGAACTCTAAATTACTATTTGCTTCCACTATTTCAGTATATATATTTTTTCTTAATGTTTTTGAGCTTTTATAGTTAATATCAGAGTCGCGTTCCTCAAAACCATTCCTTATACAGAAATTTAAAATACTAAAATACAACCCGACACTCAACCCTTTCTTGTTAAATGCAAGTATAAGGATATGAGGAGAAGAAGACCTCTACTAAATCGAATAGCCAGGGATGGGTTGCTTCGAGATGATTCAATCGACTCTTTGAGATGCTGGAAAGACTTATCTTTGCCCAGCAAGCCCAAAAAGAAAGGAGGGAGCTGTTTGACCCTCCACCCCTGCCACTGCCATAGTTAGAGCCACCCTTGCAACGAGAAGATCCAGTGCCACCCCAATACAACTCTGCTCCTCCACTGTATCATTCGATACTACTACAGTACAATTCGGTGCCTTGGCCATACAACTAGGTTCCGCCACAAGACCATCTAGTCCCTCTTCAACGGGACCCGGTTCTACCCATGATAGACCCAGACTACATTAAGAGGTATAAGACACTAAACCCATCTACCTTTGCAGGATCATCCTCCTTCGAAGAGGCTGAGTATTGGTTAGTAGAGAAAGAGAAGGCATTCATAACTTTTGGGGTGATTTTCAAACAGAAAGTTGTACTTACCACTTACATGCTGGTGGGTGAGGTAGGTCGCTAGAAGCAGACTACCCTACCCGTTCCAGTCACTTAGGAATAGTTCCTAGTGGCCTTCAATACAGAGTACCTCTTAGAGCATCTTCGACATTTGAAGGAAATAAAGTTTGTACACCTGGTTTAGGGTGAGATGACAGTATCCAAGTATACTTGAAAGTTTCTAGAGTTGGGCCAGTATTCTCCTGAGAGTATGATGGATGAAGGCAGAAAGGTAAGGAAGTTTGAGTGGGACCTCCGTCCTGAGATCAGGCAACAACTGTATGTATTCGATCTCAGTAACTACTCCGCAGTTCTGGCTAAGGCACAACTAATAAAGAGGAACCTTCATATCTTCTCTCTAGTAGTGGAAAATTCTATACCTCCAGTCCCACACCACAAACCAACACCTACTGCACCAATTCAGCATAACAAGAGACCTAGGCCGGTGACTCAAACTCCAGAAACAGGACGTCGTAGTACTTATCAGCATGTGACAAGGATTATAGAGACCGACCCTGCTATCACCTCAACAATACCTGCTGGATATGTGAGAATGCCCAACATTACATGAGAAAGTGTCAGCGAAATCACAATCAAGTCAGACCTCCCATCTAGGTCATAGTTTACACCTTTACCCAACATGATGCTGAAGCCAATATGGACGTGATACATGGTACGTACATTATCTGTAATCACTTTGCATATGTTTTGATTGATACTGGTGCTTCACATTCTTTTGTCTCACATGCTTTTGTAAAAAAATTAAATGTGTTACTTGATAATCCTAATTTTGTGTTCTTTGTGTCTACTTTTGGGAATGGAACACTACTAGGAGAGGTCATATACAAAGCTTGTATCGTAGAGACAGTAGATAAGAAATGGAGTATAGACATAATAGAAATAGGCACAAATGATTTTGATATAATTCTAAGGATGGACTTGTTAGTAGTGTATCACACCACCATATATTGTTTTAATAAGAAATTTTTATGCAATCTTCCTAATAAAGAGTCATTCATAAATTAATAAAAGTTATAGATATTATTCCGTTATGATAATTGCATTGTTTATATGAAGTTTTAACTCGGTTGTCTTTTTTACATTAGGCAAATTTAAGAAAGAAATTTGCATTCAAGAGATCCTTGTGGTATGAGAATTTCCAGATGTATTCCCTAATAAACTTCTTAAACTGCTAGTGGACAGAGAAATTGAATTTACTATAGATCTTTAGCTTGACACACAGTCCATCTTAATTGCCCCTTACCATATGAATCGCGTAGAGATAGAAAGCTGAGAAAACAGATCAAAGAATTGTAGGATAGTGGGTTTATCCGACAAAGTGTATCTCCTTGAGGCGTTGGAGTCACATTTGTAAGGAAAGAGGATGAGTCCCTGAGGTTATGTATTGACTACAGGTGATTGAACAAAGTCACAATCAAGAACAAGTATTCTCTTCCCAGAATTAATGATCTTTTCGATCAGTTACTAGGTACTTAGGTTTTCTCCAAGATAGACTTGCACTTGGGTTACCATTAAGTAAAGATCAGGGTAGAGAACATTCTCAAGACAGCCTTCAGAACTAGGTATGCGCACTATGAGTTCCTGGTCATGCCTTTTGGGTTAACTAATGCGCAAACTATTTTTATGGACTTGATGAACATGGTTTTTAGGTAATTCATGGATCAGTTCATTATTATATTTATTAATGATATCATGTTCTATTTAAAGAGTAGAGAGGAGCGCGCTCATCACCTGACT